TCCTTGGGCGGATTTGATCATTCTGGTGTCTCATACAATAAAACAGACAATTTCTATCCTGGGAGGCATGCAAGCCCCCTGATAGCAGATAACAACCTACATCATAGGGAGGGGTTGTAACATAGACAATACAAGCAATAGGAGGGGGATGACCTAGGGGTGAACATACAATAGTAAAGGGAGGGAATAGGGGAGTATGTGTCGCAAGATGAGTGCTTCCTGGACTCGATAAGCTTAGTCATCTTAGAGGGGTCCCGGGCTTGCCTTTGGGCACTGCTTCAAGGGAACAATAGCAGAAGGGACTGGGCCCTACTTAGGGTGAGTCAGACTATACAGTCTGGTTGCTCTAGATGGCTGATGTTCAGGAGAATAACCTCTGACCTACTTTCGCTGACCGCCTAGTGGACAGTCATTCTCAAGCAGCTAAGTCTGGTACATATTTTGGGGGGAGACAGCTTGAGAGAAATCCTTCTGTTCCCACAGGCCTTCCACGGAGGCCTTTCTCGACAACCTGTGGGAACTAACACCCTTCCTTCATTGGACCATCCAGTTGCTTTGCAGCCATCGTGACCCACCTGACAAAGGACCCCCGCCCCATAGGGCATCCTCGGCTGTCCTCACAGAAGCAGATGGGCAGGCCTTGGCCCTGAGGATCTGCTGGGTGAGTGTCAGTCGCAGCTGAGTGTCTAACTGCTGCCCCGCCGAGGCTCCTTCCCCTTCATGTGTTTTGTTTTTCTTCGTGACCCCTCTCACCACCTGACACCGCTGACGCTGATGTGCCCATGTTGGTCTTCTGTCTGCCTCACTTGAATTGCAGGCTCTGAGAGAGCAGGGGCTTAGCTCCATGCCCTTCACCGCTGGGTCTCCAGTGCCCGGCAAAAGGCTGGCACATGGATTAGCAGCGCAGTACAAGCTCTCCACCCCCCAACCCCCTTCCAGTGCTTTCCCTCCCCCCTCCAGGGCTGTGTCTAAGGTCACTACTGCAGACTGCAACCTTGTTTGCATTGCCAGCCCCTGTCTTCCTCTTCGATTCAGTTGGCTGCTTCTAATTGGTGAGGGGCTTGAATTATGTATTAAAAAGGTCCCTGGGTGGTCCTAAAGGTTTGTCCTTGGCTACTAACTGAAAGGTTGGGGGTTCAAACCCACTCACTGGTACTTCACTAGAAAGGCCTGACAATTGGCTCCCATGATGAGAACAGCCAAGACAGCACTATAGGGAGCTCAGGTCAAGTCTGTAGCAGACAGGGTCATCCTGAGTTCACCTAGCCTCCATAGCAAGGGGCTTGGTCATCCAGACTCAGTTAAGGGTCCAGTCAGGCATGTGGCATCAGCCACTGGCAACCTCTATATTATGGTCCTGCCTCCCTGCTCCCCCCACTCCCTCCCGGCCTGGTTTTATTTTTTGCTTCCAATTCATTTGTTTAACACACACAGTCATGGAGAATCAGATACTGGGTCGAGTGTTGTTGGACTAAAATGATGAATGAGATTGACTCCTTGCTCATGGGGTGCCTTCAACAGACTGAGCCTCTGAGCCTCAGGGTATCAGTGGAATCGCTACTCGCTTATGTGTGGCCGAGAGCCTTGGCTGTGCTGTGGGATAAACACTGGGCTGCTAATCACAAGGTCGGCAATTCAGACCCATCTGCTGCTCCTTGGGAGACACACGAGGCTGCCTGCTCGCCTCAAGATGTACAGTCTAGGAAGCCTTATATAGGCCTGCTGTGGGTCAGAATTACCTCGAAGGCAGTGGGTAGTGGGTAGACATGTGGCTGGTTCACTCTGGCACAGGGTGCCCTCCGCCGTGGTGTTTGGTGCCCTGGCAACCTCAGATAGGGGTGAGATAGAGGACGTGTCCCCTGACCTGCCTGGGAGGCACACACGTGGGTTTAAAAGCACCCTGAGGGTGCGGACGTTTCAAGTTCATTGCCCGTGGGTGTGTGCACTCCACAACCTCCAGGCGGGCTGTGCTCATTGGCTGTCTGCAGCTCCCCTTCTCCGTCCCCCTTTCAATGTCTCTGGGGAGTGATTCCCCTCCATCCCCATCGCAGACCCTCAGGGACCCACTCCAGTCGGCAAATAAGCTCTGGCTGCTCCGAAACATCCATCCTTCCCTCCCAGATGCCCTCCTACATATTGTCGTTATGGTGAAAAATATGCAAATAACTTTGAAAAACAGTCTCCCAGCAAGCCGGTATTCAAAAATGTAATAAATTAACCCCATAATGTAATCTGGGTGCCAGGACCATCCATCATGCTGATGCGATTAAGATATGAATAACCAGATGCCACCGCCGAGCCTGATGGAAATGACAGATGAGTCCCTGCAGCCCTCCCTCGTGGCCCCCTGCTGACTGGGCCCCCTGCCCCCTGCCCAGCTTCTTTGCCCCCTTGGACCCCAGAGGCTATCAGAGGTTTAGGGAACATCTGCTCATTTCACAAATGAAGAGACTGAGGCTTTTGGGGGATGAGGGGTCTGATCATTTTAAACCCCCTCATTTATGTCCTAGCTTCAGTTCCCTTGTCTGTGGCAGACACTGAAGCCTGAGCCCTAAATCCCGCATTTTTATCCAAGAAATTTTTAGTGGATAAGGTGGGTTCCCCAGTACTAAATAAGGGCTTTGGGAACCTGTTTCCCCAGGGGGAAAGTGTTGAGCGGTCTATCCTCCGAGACTTCTTCGAGCTTTGGCTCTGCATCAGGGTACCGCTGCGTGACTTGTCCTGTGACCCCCATGAGGCAGCTGGGTTACCATGGAGGGAGGGCCATGCTTGAACCCCCGCCCCGCCCACTGTGCCCTGAGAGCCCCACCCCCAAGAGTTGTTGGGCTCCAGCCTCCCCACCCCAGAAACCGCACAAAGGGGCCCTTTATAAGCAAGTGCCTGGAAAGCTGCTTGAGCAGCCTCAAGAGAAGGACCCCTCCACCCCCAGGCTTACCCCAAGAGGCACAGCAGCAGCAGCAACAGTTACATCGCAAGGAGCAGGTGGACACCCCTACAAGCTAGTGAGCTGCTTGCCTGGTTCCACATGGAAGTGACCCTCTCCTAGGGGGTCCCAAGTATTGATCAGACTCTGTGCCCCAAATGGGCAGTCAGGACCCGCAATTGCTGAAGTAAACACCCCTCCTCAATCCCTTTGAGTTAAGCATTGCCATCTGATGAAATGCAACCCCCTGGGTACAGACCACCCCACAGGCACCCACATTTTCAGGGGCAGCAGAGCCCTGGGGAGCTTATTAAAGGGCCTGGTATCTGCTGTGCACCTGGACTCCCCTCAGGGGCGAATCTGTCAGGCTACTTCCTCCCTCCCATTCCTGCGTCCAGGTACAAGTGGCAGGGCACAGGCTCAATTGGCTGTGTGTGGATGTGTGGGCAGGTGTTCAGTACCGAGCTGCCAACAGTGCCGCTGCTGGCTGGTTCTGCGTATCAGCAGTTGGGTGTGGTCTCTAACCAGCACGTGCATCCCTGGAGGTCAGAGCTAGGTCCCTTGGACTTTGGGCCCTACTTGTGGCCTGTTACTCTGCGACCTCTTCTCTGACCTTAGTTTTTCCACCTGGCAAGTAAGGACCCAGCAGGTTGAAGGCCTCTAGTAAGAGGTAGGAGTCAGAGCTGGCTCTCAGTTCTAGCTGTGTGACCTTCCTGAGCTTGGGAACATCTCTGGGCCCACTTCCTCATTTGTCAAGCGGGGCTGTAACTGGCTACTTAGCTCCTTGGGTTAGTGAGAGAAGTAATCAGCGTTGGACACAAAATAAGCACTCAATCCACGTTAATAGTTATTTTATCCTTATCGTTGAGGAAGCTTCACGGTCTTCAGATTGAACCCAGAGCTCTGGAGGGCTCAGGAGCAAGAGCAGGAGTGGCAGAACCCACCCCACCCCATGTGGCTCAGGCAGCTAGCTTCTCTCTGAACCTCTGGTTGGCTCTTCTGTAAAAGGGGGGCAGTCACTGCCACCAACTCATGGAATTGTTTTGAGGGTTCAGTGAGATAAGCCTTGGGCACACCTGGCCCAGAGCTTGGCACACAGCTGGTGACTTAGAAGGGCCCACTATTACTCCCATAGGGTTGGGAGGCTGCTCTCAGGCTTGGAGGGGTGGGGGTGGGAGACTGTCCTGGCCTCTGAGGTTGCTGGGTCTTGGCTAGGCAACTAAGGGTAGGGGTAGGTGTCATTGCCCTTCGGGCCCTGCTATGCCCTTCACCTCAAGACCCTTGGTGGCACCTAGCGGTTTATTTGCTGGGCTACAAAGTTCAAAGTCAGCAGTTCGAAACCACTCAGCCGCTCTGCGGGAGAAAGATGAGGCTTTCTATGCCTGTAGAGTCACAGTCTTTGGTAAACCCACAGGAACAGTTCTACTCTGTCCTATAAGGTCGCTACGGATCAGAATTGTCTCCATGGGGGTGTTTTTTTGTTTGTGCCCTAAATCTGGTCCTTACCAGCAACCCTAACCTGTCCGCTTTGAGCGTCCCTAAAACGATAGGAATCCTTTCGAGGTCGTTCGTGGAGACCAGTTGTCTTTTTCCGCTCCGCCTCCAGGTGGAAGGGAAGCGGCCTTGAGCAAAGCCAGCCACCTGGAGGTCCGCACTCACTTCCCCACGGTCGGGCCCCGCCCCGATGCCCGGGCCCGCCCCAAGCCCCGCCCC